TTTTGAGATTTATCAAAATATCATATTTAGTTTGGAAATGATATCCATACTGATTTATAGTTTGTGTGATATCAAAAATAGGATTTTACAGTTCAAAAATAAAGTTTGTGGAAAAATTCTAGTTTTAGACGATACCAGTTACGGTACCTTGGTACTGTCCAGACGGTATGGGGTACCGTCTAGTGTTAGGTATCGCCAGAGGAAAAATTGCATTGAGACGATAGCTGGCATATCGTTACTGGCGATATGGCCTACCGTTCTGGCGGTACCTAAGTACCATCCGGGCGGTATACCGTGCATGCGTTAGTTTTGAGCAGTGTCATCTTCAACTCGGGCCAATTTTCGAAAAATTTATTTTTAGTCATCAAACTTCAATTAAACTATATAAAAGTTTTCTCTAAAGTTCATAGATAATTTTGGTATCATAAATTCAAAGTTTTAACAAGAATTCAAGATTTATGATTCTTGGTTTTTCAAACATGTCAAACACAAAACTCAACCAAATGACCATTTATGAACGTAGAAACGGTCTATATGAACATTCTAAATAACTAAATATATCTAAGGACTTACCTCAGGCTTAAATAGAGATTTTAGAAATTTTTCCAGCGAGACTTCTAGCAACGATTATTCTCAACTTTGGCGACCTCATAACCTCTAAACAACACCACTATGTTCTCCACACTCAAGGATACATAATAGAAGAAGGAATGAGGATTTTTTATGAGATTTTGTGGAAGGAGAGTACTCCTTATATGGGAGTTGTAGCAAGGAAGAAGCTAAGGGAGTATGTCTATTTCCTGTTCCTTGTTTGGCGGAGTGGAGCGAATGGTGATCCATTATGATATTTTACGTCTCTCCCTGATTTGGACTAATTTGGTCCCAATAGGGATATACTCGTAATTTTTTGTCCAACTTTCTTCGAATTGAATTCTGATTGTACCGTTGCAACCAGTCACTCAAACTCTACATAACGATATAGTTTTCATTATTTATTGACAAAATTTATAAATCACCTATTTTTGGATCCTTCTGAGTAATTCAGTAATTATACATTAATTAATTCTGATAGGCCTATTTAATTTTGGGGCGTTGCTAGGCATGTGATAAGATCGAGGTTCGTCGATCGTGCATTGAGGTTCTATAGCTCATAGAACATCTGATCCACCATCTTTGTGGCGTTGTTCTAAGTATGCCTTTTTCCGAGGTTCCCCTTCGACGTAATATTGCTCGTATTCTTCATCATCTACCCTTTCCACCTGTCGGTGCGTCCTTTCATATTGACGAGATCAACCTCGCTGATTTAAGTCCTTAGGGACTTGGCTCCTCAATCTCTCACGCACCGGAATGCGCAGATGTAAAGACATGGAAGCTTAGGGAGGTTGATTGCAATATTCTTCGACGTGCCTCTTTTCCAGCCTGTAATGCAGACATCCTGCCACCGTCGACAGCTTCTCTTGAATCTCCGCCACTTTTGTCGGCTTCTTGTGGACCTTCGCTCTAACTGTTTCCTTTTGGATCTCCGCGGTTGTGTCGACAGGATGTTAAATTCAGCCACCATTTTGCTGAGACTCTGGTAGACTCGGTTGCTGGATATTGAGCAAGGCCAGTTGTTGTACGATGGAGCTCATGTGTTGCATCACCGGGTGCAGTGGCAAGGAAGCTTCCCCTATCCATCAGCAGGGCCGCAGTCCCAACATTCTTCGTAGCTACCAATGGTGTTTCGATTGGGATGACTGAATGGATTTCGTCGTTAGTTCCAAGGATGTTTGCTTGAATAAGGACATCCTTCCCGCGACGGTCAATCTCGTTGCACAAATCTCGTGCCTTTCGGCATGGAGTCGATTTCGTCTCTGATTGAATTCCTCTCATAAATCAGAGAAAGTCAATGAGGCTGTTTGCACGATAACATTTTTTGAGTTTTAAATTGTCGTCACTGTTGATCGTCGTTGCGGCTCCTTTTCGAGCTCAAAGGATCGCCATGACAGCTCGTTTGTTCTGATCAGAGATCCGAATGAGCAAGGAATCCATATGCAAAAATCTGATCGAAATGAAAATCAGTGGTGAATCCATCAACGAAAATCCGCTCAGATATATGAACGGAGAGAGCAACTTGATTGTTATTCTGCAACTCTTAGTGAGAGCACCAACGAGGGATCACGGGGATCCCAGAGTGACAAATCACCACATACTTGTAGGAAGTCTAGAGAGAGAAAGTTATTTCTTAGAGTGAATGTATTGTAGTACTAGATGAGTTGATTGCTTGTCCATTCCCCTTCACAATGCGGAGGGATAGTATTTATAGACGGGGGGAAGCTTGTTCTCAAAGTTTTGATACTTTTTGAATGTAGGCCACTTGAATTCATAACTAACTTGACAAACATTTATTGTTATTCGGGTCGGCCAATCACATTGGGGCGATCGCCGATCCATAGCATAAAAATCACGTTAGCATTTGGTCATCGCGTTTGTTCAGCCGATCTTGCTTTATGGCGGACTTTGGCTCTCGGCAGGGTCTTCTTCTTTGGGTTTTGAGGTCCTATTCCTTGAACTGGATACCCCATTGTTAGGGTATCTGTCACACCTTTTGTATCATCATAAGGAGCACATGAATAATAAATGCAGTAAATGACACAGATAATTAATTTTTCCAACTTTTTCTAGTTGTTCAACTCCTAATTTTCTAACTCATTCTGTTTGTGTTCAGTTTCTTCCAGTTTCATCTAACTTCTACCAATTTCTTTCAACACCCAACTCTATTTTTACAACCCAAATGAACAGTTCCTTATAAGTCTCAATATCAAATATGACAAGTGAACAATTTCTTCTAAAATCCATAAAGAAATTAGGAAAGTTAGAGCTATGCTGGTTAGGTCAAGTTCGAATTCAAGTTGGAAAAAACGTGTTCATGACCTAGCTAGTTCACTGGGTTTTGATGACCAAACGGTTTGTGAGTGTTTGTTTAAAATATTTAAATTCATACTTGTACTTGTATCCTTATAAAAACGTACCCGGAGTAACAAAAAAACTACTCCATAAAATATTATATTCTTGGTATCTATTAAAAACATTTAAAATTTTCTTTTTGACATTTTAATTAATTTTTAAATATGTATCACAATATTATAAGTAAAATATAAATTGTAGATAAATACAACATTTTATGTCAATATAGTATTTATCATTCAAAACTCACTTAGAAAAGTAAGTTTAATTTGTAAGCTAAGAGCACTCTCTCTGTCTTTTACCTCTAATCCACATCATCATTTTGGTATAAATTACGGAGTATTTTTTCATTGCATCCCATCAATGAAGAAAGAAAAATGCTAGAATCACAAACAATTCAAAAATTCATAAAAATGTCTTTTTAACATCTTACTAGGAACAAGATGCATTCAAATAAAAAAAGATTAAATTTAAAATTAACAAAAAACAAGTTTGTCAAATTTGTAAACTATTTATTTGTGACTCTAACATTTTCGACTTGAAAATTGCTTTTCATCCACACCTCTCACATCGAATGGAGCCCTCAATCCCCAATTTGATTACAAATTGAGCTTTACAAGGAGAAATATCACACTTTTTGAAATAATTTTATTTACAAAATTGTATATCAATAAGAAATAAAAATTACATATTAAAAAACTACGTCAAAATTCTACAAAACAAGAGGTAACAAGAATATTTTATTTTATCAAATATATACTTAATGAAATCGCATAAATAAACAAAAATTTTCGAGAGGAAAAAAAAAATCGTAATCTACTTGGAGACGGAGGGAGTATGTTTTTTTCCACTCGTTACGTGTGAAAAAAGGATACCCGCATGAAAAATTTTCAAAACTCAATGGTGGAATAGTAACTATACCAAAATAGTTCCAAAAACACTGTTGGGAACGCTCTAAAATGGAGTAAGATGCCATTATTTTTTATTGCTTTATATTTCATGCTAAAAATGTATGGAGTACATCATTTAAAAAAATATCATATACTTTGCGAGCCATTCAAGTCAAGTTCGGTCAGATTTATTTTACTTTAACGGGTCATTTTGAGTTCAATTGTCTTATCGATCGCTTGATGAACAAAATTTTTGTTTAAACATGGAGCCGCACAATGTTTTAGCTTGTATCGTTTTTATTTTTTTCTTCTTACCTATGCAGTTTGAGCCAGGGTCTCTTGAAAGTAAACTCTCTACTTTCGAGAAGGGGCGCGAAACTCGGCATACACACACCAGATTCAGACCCTACGTACTTTGGTGGGATCCAACTAAGTTATTGTTATTGTCTCATAGACTCATACAAGGCATGATATTTAATTTTTTTTGCTTCCCAACAATCCCACATAAAATAAAAAATTTAAATTCAAACAAAAAATTCTAGGAAAAATAACCCAAAATAATCCCAACTTTACCCGGTCTTTCAAAAATAATCCCACCTTTCACTGTGATGCATAATAATCCCAACATTACTGAAATTTGCCAGTTTTGGGTCGTCGTGAAATTTCTAACGGAGGGTTAACGGAAATGCTCGTTTTAGGCAACAAAATGAAAGTTGGGATTATTTTTGATGAATTTTCATTTTTTTTTATTTTTTTTAAATTTTTCATTTAAATTTTTTAAATTACTTTCTGCCTCCATCATCATTTCTTTTTCCTTTTTTAAAGATTAGTCTTATTAGTTTAAAAAATAAAAATAATAGATATAAAAATGAAAAAATGAGAAATGTAACTAAAATGATACAAAAATAATAAAATAAATAAGGTAATCAACGGAAACTAACTTGAAATTGGTAAAAGTAAAATAAAAATATACGGGTGGGTTTTAATATTTTACGCATTATACAAAGTATTAACATATCACTTCTTATTTTTTAGAAAAAATTATCTATAATAATTCCAACTTTACCGGACGGCTTGTTCTTTTAAAAAATAAGTAGTACATTAAGACTACGTATAGCGTGTAAAATGTTAAAACCCACCACTCCGTATATATTTATTTTATTTCTTACCAGTTTCTATTTAATTTCTATTGATTACATTATTTATTTGATTAATTTTGTATGATTTTAGTTATTTTTCTCATTTTCATTATTTTTTATATCTATTTTTTTCAAAGGTAAGAATAATCTTTAAAAAATAAAAAGAAATGGAGGTTGAAAGTAATTCAAAAAATTTAAATAAAAATTTCAAAAAAATTAAAAAATAAAAATTCATCAAAAATAATCCCAACTTTCATTTTGTTGCCTAAAACGGGCATTTCCGTTAACCCTCCGTTAGAAACTTAACGGCGACCCAAAACTGGCAAATTTCAATAAAGTTGAGATTATTATGCATCGCAGTGAAAGGTGGGATTATTTTTGAAAGACCGGGTAAAGTGGGATTATTTTGGGTAATTTGGACGGGATATAGTGTATACGGAATAATGATTCACGAATATCATTAAGAGTTAGGCCAAATATATATAGCCTTGTACAAGAGATTTGGGTGATCTAAACTACCATAATTAACTACAACTAAATAAATACAATTATTCACACCAAGATACAATATCAAATAAATAGGAGTCAATTATCTTCAATACGCCCCCGCAAGATGGAGGATCCATTTGAGACTCCAATCTTGGACCGAAATTTGTGGAAGAGAAGACGCGGAAGCGGTTTTGTGAGAAAGTCAGCTAACTGATCCGAAGAGCGTACATGGGCCACACGTACGGCCCCAGACGAAACCAACTCTCTGACGAAAAACAATCCAATGCTAAATGCTTCATGCGAGAGTGGAACACCGGATTCTTGCACACATGAAGAGCACTGGTATTGTCACAGTAAAGAAGAGGAGACTCGATCAGAGGGATGTGAAGTTCTCGAAGCAGACTCTGAACCCATTGCAGTTCTGCCACGGCGTTTGCGAGAGCACGATACTCAGCTTCCGTCGAAGACCGAGACACACTTTTTTGCCGTTGAGACTTCCATGAGATAATGTTGGGACCAAAATAAAGCACATACGCCGTGGTAGATCGCCCCCCATCGGTGATGCCACCCCAATCAGCATCAGAAAAGGCGGTGAGCCGAGAAGGAACCTGCTTCGATAAGAATAAGCCATGAAGAATAGTGCCTTTGAGATAACGAAGAAGACGCTTGAGAGCAGCCCAGTGCCGAGCGGTGGGATGATGCATGAACTGAGCAAGTTTGTTCACGGCGAAGGAAACATCTGGTCGGGTCAGAGCAAGATACTGCAGACGGCCAATAAGGGTGGCAGTAGGCCGTGACATCCACCGGGGAAGCGTCAATAGAAAGTGTAGGAATAGCGTCAGACTGCATGGGAGTGGCTATGTCCTTCGCCCCTGTCATGGAAGCATCATCAAGAATGTCCATGATATATTGAGATTGGGACAGAAATAGGCCACTACCAGTGGAAATCACCTCAACACCAAGAAAGTGACTTAACGGGCCTAGATCCTTGAGAGAGAACTCAGTAGCCAAGGCACTCACAAACTTGTCAAGAAACACCGAATTACTCCCTATAAGAATAATGTCATCAACATAGACTAGAAAGTAAGCCGTAATACCATCCCGATGATAGACAAAGAGAGACGCATCAAATTGGGCCTTCCGAAAACCACTTTGTAGAAGGAAACGAGACAGTGCCTCATACCATGCCCGAGGAGCTTTCTTCAGTCCATACAAGGCCCGAGATAATCTGCATACGTGAGATGGAAAGGCAGGGTCAACATAACCAGGAGGCTGCTCCATAAATACCTGTTCCTCCAACCTGCCATGTGAGAAGGCATTGTTCACATCAAGTTGGCGCAAAGGCCAGTGTTTAGCCAAAGCAATGCTAAGAACCAAACGAATGGTGACCGGCTTCATAACCGGACTGAACGTCTCAAAGTAGTCACGACCCGCCTCCTGAAGGTACCCCTTAGCCACTAGTCATGCCTTGTAACGCTCAACCGAGCCATCAGCTTTCCGTTTCACACGGAAGATCCACTTGCACCCGATAGGCCGATGAGAGGCGCGTGGAACAAGGGTCCAGGTTTGATTCCGGAGGAGAGCCTGGTACTCAGCGTCCATTGCTTCCCGCCAGCGAGGATCCTTGAGAGCTTGGGCAACAGTCTTAGGTTCATGGGTAAGGGGAAGTGGGTGTTTGGTGGCATGATTAATGAGAGGAGAAGCTGAGATGAAGTCATAGTTGAAATACCGGACATTGGGACGCCGATTGCGAACTGGGCGAGGCGGCGGAGACACAGTCGCCGATGAGGCAGAAGAGACGGGAGAGGGTGATGGTGATGACTGGACAGGGACGGTGTCCGAGATGTGGGAGGGTTGGTTACGAGGCGGAGAGACATGGGTGGTCGACGGCGGAGGGGACGCCGTCGGGGCAAACTGAGGAGATATGACCGGGAAGGAGGCCGGAAGTGACAGACCGTCTGGGGCGCAAGGAGTAGCAACGGATGGGTGAGGAAAGATATGAGGAACAAACTGAACATGACGGGAGATGTAGACACGATTAGTGGACAGGTCAAGACATTTATACGCAGATTGAGACGTGGAGTAGCCCACAAAGACACATGGGGAGGACCGAGGCTGAAGTTTGTTGGTGTTGTAAGGACGCAACCACGGATAACAGAGGCACCCAAATGGTTGAAGTTTGAGATAGTTTTGCAAGGCATGGAAAAGTTTTTGGTAAGGAGACGCAGAATCAAGAACGGGAGTAGGCATGCGATTAATAAGGTAAACAGCAGTGAGGAAGGCAAAGGACCAGTATTTGAGAGGCATGTGTGCATGATGGAGTAGAGAGAGGCCAGTCTCAACGATATGACGATGACGTCGCTCTGCTGAACCATTATGCTCTGGAGTATGAGGTTGTGTGGTAAGATGGGATATGCCAAAAGTGGCAAGCATGGGACGCAGTTTAATGAATTCACCCCCAATATCAGAAAAAATGGTTACGATTTTGCGTTTAAAAAAGTTTTCCACCGAATTTTTGAATTGAGGAAAAACTTTAAAAACATCAGATTTGTGGGAAAGCGGATATAGCCACACATATTTAGTATAGTGATCCACAAAAATAACATAATAGAGATGACCATCTACAGTGCGTTCCTTACACGACCAAACATTAGAATAAATAAGTTCTAGAGGAGTAGAACTGACAAGGGAATTATCATGAAAAGGCAATTTGTGAATTTTATTAATAGCACACGAAGAACAATGAAACTGTTGAATATCCTTTAAAGGAAAAGACCGATTACATAGGCGCAACAGAATAGATAAAGTCTTAATAGAGGGATGTCCAAAGCGATGATGAAAGTCAAAAAGAGAGCTTCCACCATGAACATGCACTTGGGGAGACGGAGGAACGGAACGAGCATAGTAGACCCCATCAAGATTGTCCGCGCTGAGGAGTTTCGCCCCCGTTTTCAGATCCTTCACATGAAACGAAAAGGGGAAAATTTCAACAGAGACATGATTAGTTTGGCAAAGTTGAGAGACAGAAACCAGATTATGATGCAAGTGAGGGACACATAACACATTAGATAAAGTAAGGGGACGGGAAGGGGTAGGAAGTAAAGTGGAGCCAGTATGAGTTATGCGAAGACTGTTACCATTACCCAGACGGATCTCATCCGGACCACCGTAGTCAGAAAAGGAAATAAGCGACTGAGTAGAAGGCGTAGTGTGGTGACTAGCTCCAGAATCAAACAACCACTGCGGAGGAGTTGTAGCCGGATAGACCTCTGTGGAGTGAGCCACAGGCGGGGGAGCAAGACCATGTTGACGAAGGAAGCGGGCGAGCTTCCGACAATCTCGAACATCATGACCCGGGATGGAGCAGAATTGGCATCCACTGCCCGCGGTTTGCCGTGCGGGCCTGCCAGTCGTCTGCCCACGACCGCGACGGTTTGCGGAGGATCCACTGTCACGACCTTCGTCACGGTGATGCTGACCAAACCGAGAACTCCCACCTCCACCAGACTGCTGCTGAGTATAATTGGCAGTGGCAAGAGACAAAGTGCGAGTGGCTTCCGACAGCTGAATTTTCTTTTCGTGCTCCTTTAGAATGTCCCCAAGTTCTTTGAACGAAAGCGGTTCGGCACGAACACGGGCAGCAGAGGTGATGGAGTCATATTCATCACCCACTTGGTTGAGGACATGAACAACAAGATCTTCCTCCGAAACCGGACTCTGAACCAAGGCCAGTTCATTGGCAATGGATTGCATATAAAAGAGATAATCAGACATGGAACGATCACCTTTAGGGTTTTTGCCTAATTTTGATTTGAGGGAAACGATGCGGCCGCGGCTGGAGCTGGCAAAGGCAGCATGAAGATTCGTCCAGGCCTCACACGCGGTTTCACAGGTGGAGATAAGTGGCTGGACCTGATCGGAACAGCTGCCAAGTAAGGCTCCAATGATAGATTGATCTTGACGGAACCATATAGAATAGCAAGGGTTGGCCGCTCCTTCAAGGACTTTCGGTGGCGCATGGAGAGTGCCGTCGACATACCCGATGAGATCAAGAGCGATGAGCATGGAGCGAACCTGGCGCTGCCATATGGAGAAGTTGGTGGAGATCAATTTGATAGGAAAGTGCGTCTTGGCGTGGAGTTGAACCACGGGTGTGTCCTTGGTGATGGTGGGTGCCATGGGATGCGACGAGAGAAAGCCTTAGATCGTCAAAGAGAGGCTTGAAGGTGGCCGGCGATGGACGCACAGCGCTTGGGGTACGGCGTTAGGTTTTGGGAGAGGAAAAATTTCCTTTAAGGCTCTGATACCATATACAGAATAATGATACACGAATATCATTAAGAGTTAGGCCAAATATATATAGCCTTGTACAAGAGATTTGGGTGATCTAAACTACCATAATTAACTACAACTAAATAAATACAATTATTCACACCAAGATACAATATCAAATAAATAGGAGTCAATTATCTTCAATATAGTGTTATAAAATGATTTGGACGGGATTTGTTTTCTACGCAATTTTATTCATTTACACACAAAACAGGATGAGCCCCATCCCCGAGAGGCGAAGACCCCCTCAGACCTGGTCGAACAGTCACTGAGAGAAGATAAATTAGATTTCTTTCAACACCCAACTCTATTTTTACAACCCAAATGAACAGTTCCTTATAAGTCTCAATATCAAATATGACAAGTGAACAATTACTTCTAAAATCCATAAAGAAATTAGAAAAGTTAGAGCTATGCTGGTTAGGTCAAGTTCGAATTCAAGTTGGAAAAAACGTGTTCATGACCTAGCTAGTTCACTGGGTTCGGATGACCAAACGGTTTGTGAGTGTTTGTTTAAAATATTTAAATTCATACTTGTACTTGTATCCTTATAAAGACGTACCCGGGGTAATAAAAAAACTACTCCATAAAATATTATATTCTTGGTATCTATTAAAAACATTTAAAATTTTCTTTTTGAAATTTTAATTAATTTTTAAATATGTATCACAATATTATAAGTAAAATATAAATTGTAGATAAATACAACATTTTATGTCAATATAATATTTATCATTCAAAACTTACTTAGAAAAGTAATTTTAATTTGTAAGCTAAGAGCACTCTCTCTATCTTTTACCTCTCATCCACATCATCATTTTGGTATAAATTACGGAGTATTTTTTCCTTGAATCCCATCAATGAAGAAAGAAAAATGCTAGAATCACAAACAATTCAAAAGTTCATAAAAATGTCTTTTTAACATCTTACTAGGAACAAGATGCATTCAAATAAAAAAAGATTAAATTTAAAATTAACAAAAAACAAGTTTGTCAAATTTGTAAACTATTTATTTGTGACTCTAACATTTTCGACTTGAAAATTGCTTTTCTTGAATGGGGCCCTCAATCCCCAATTTGATTACAAATTGGGCTTTACAAGGAGAAATATCACTCTTTTTGATATAATTTTATTTACAAAATTGTATATCAATAAGAAATAAGAATTACATATTAAAAAACTACGTCAAAATTCTATAAAACAAGAGGTGACAAGAATATTTTATTTTATCAAATATATACTTAATGAAATCGCGTAAATAAACAAAAAATTTCGAGAAGAGAAAAAATTGTAATCTACTTGAAGACGGAGGGAGTGTTTTTTTCCACTCCTTACGTGTGAAAAAAGGATACCCGCATCAAAAATTTTCAAAACTCAATGGTGGAATAGTAACTATACCGAAATAGTTCCAAAAACACTGGTGGGAACGCTCTAAAATGGAGTAAGATGCCATTATTTTTTCTCTGATGCCCAGGTAAATGAGTGGGCATGCATGTCCCTCTATTAAATTGCTACCATGTGGATTGATCAAGTAAAAACTTCATTTCATTTTAAATTTAAAAAATTGTAGTAAGGCCTTGTCTTGTGCCTCTTGTTAGCGTTAGTTCTTCCGTCATCTACTCCTATTCCATTATCAAATTTTATTACTCGGTTTTATGCTTTCAAAAAAAAGAAGTTAATCACTCAATTTTTTTCATTGGTTACATTCTGTTTAATTTATTTTTTCTTATTTATTACTAATTTTTATTTAAATTAAATTATTTAATGTCAGATGCACTCAAATGTTATTCAAATTATTTTTATTAGATTTATCTTGTATGATAAAAGGAAAAATTATCCAAAATAATCTCAACTTTACTCCGTCTTTCAAAAATAATTCTACCTTCCACTGTAATGTATAATAATCCCAAGTTTATTGAAATTTGTAAGTTTTGGACCGCCGTTAAGTTGTTAACTGTGCGTTAACGGAACAGCCTGTTTTGCGCAACAAAATGAAAGTTGAAATTATTTTTGGTAAGTTTTTGTGGCAAAAAACAGGTCGTTTCCGTTAACCCACCGTTCGTAACTTAACAATGACCAAAAATTTACAAATTTTATTAAAGTTGGGATTATTATTCATCATAGTGAAATGTGTAATTACTTTTGAAAGACAGGATAAAGTTAGAATTATTCTGTATAATTTTTCCCTTTTGATTTTTTTATCTAATTAATATAACATATAACTTTTATATAATTATAAGTTAAATATTGATGTAACGTCCCAAAATATACCCTAAAAAGAACCTTATTTGGATTTCGTTTTCTATAAGTGTATTTTTTTATTTTTCATATCATTTTTCTATTGTGTTTTCCTGTTTTTTTATTTTCTTTCCCTATTCCTTGTTTTCGTTTTTTAAATGTATCAAAAAAATTCTATTTATTTTAGAAAGAAAAAAACAAAAATGTTTTAGTCAATATTGATCTGGTCTGATCTGATTGGATCTGATTTGATCTAGTGTGATCTGATCTGATTAATTATGATTTGATTTAAAATTCAAATCAATATTTTGATTTGACTTTATAATAACGTTTTAAAATTGTAATGATAATTCATATTATAATATAATCAACATTGTTTATTTTATGATTATTTTTTAATGAAATAAAATTATTTAATTCATATATTAGAATAATCATTTTTATTATAATGTAATAATAGTTTTTATTTTATGATTATTTTTTTATGAAATAAGAATATTGATTTAATATTTTAATAATTAGTTCATATATAAATTAGAATAAATATTTAATTCATGTATAAATTAAAAATTAATTAAATTTAGATGATTAATGTAGATAAGAGATAGTATTTTTATAAAAATATCTCATCCTTATAAAATATCAACATGTGCTTTGTACTACGAAACGTTTTTTATGATTAATATACAACATAGATATAATAGTTATTTCAGTTACACTAAACTATACTCCATATATGAATATCAAATGTTAGTTTTATTTAAGTCATGATCAAAGTTGATCAACTCGATGTAGTAAAAGATCAAAGCTTTAGAAACTCAAATTACAGGTAGCAATAAAAATGTATTTTAAAAGTAGATTTAGATTGAGTTTGTCAATGTATTTTAAAAATAATTTTTTCCGACGTCTAATAATTAAGGATTACTTTCTCAAGTTTCTATTTAACTTATTTCTGAAGTTGATTCTTTTTCATTTTTAAGAATATGAATAATAATAATAATAATAAAATAATTAGTAGTAATAATAATAATAATAATAATAATAATTCTTAATTGGATCTGATCTGATCTAATCTGATTGGATTTGGTCTGATCTGATCTGATTTGATTCGATCTGATCTGGTCTATTCTGATCTGTTTAGATCTCATCTGATCTGGTCTGATCTGATTTTAATAAGAATAAGAAAAAAGCAGAAAAAATAAGTTGAACAGAATGGGGCCTAAAACCATTACTCTATTAAGCTTTTTTTTTTAATTTAACCGTGTTTTCTTTTAAAAAAAAATTAACCATACTTTTAATAAAAAAAATAGAATGAAAAAAATTTATGAGACGAAGGCAACAAGTTAACGGTAATTAGTTAACAATTTTAGAGCCTGTTTGGGAATAGCCTTAGAGATTAGCGTTAGCGTTTTGGATAAAATATTAACGGTGTAGATTACTTTGAAAACGCTAAACGCTGCCCGTAGATAGTCTTTTCAAAACGCTAACTCTAATCGCTAACGTTATTCCCAAACAGGCCCTTAATGAATTAGAGATGACAAGGTCAATTGCAATTTTTGGCAATTAAAATTACGTGGAGGAATTACTAGTTGAGATGGTCATGTGTCCACATGGCATCAATTTAATGGAGGGGTATGCATGCCCTCTTATTTGCTTGGGCATCCTAGAAACTACCTATTTTTTATTGCTTTATATTTCATGCTAAAAATGTATGGAGTACATCATTTAAAAAAATATCATATACTTTTGCGAGCCATTCAGGTCAAATTCGGTCAGATTTATTTTATTTTAACGGGTCATTTTGATTTCAATTGTCTTATCGATCACTTGATGAACAAAATTTTTGTTTAAACATGGAGCCGCCACAATGTTTTAGCTTGTGGTTTAGCATTTTAACCATCGTTTTTATTTTTTTCTTCTTACCACTACAAAAAAAGAGGGCAGTAGCGACAGATCCTTAGCGACAGAAACCTTATTTGTCGCTAAAAAGAGAATATTAGCGACAGATAAATTTATTTGAAGGCAAAAATTATTTGACCCACAGAAAGAGTAATATCTGTCGATATTGGTTATAGTTTTAGCAACAAACTTTTATCTGTCGGTATTGCTTATAGTTTTAGCGACAAAACTTTATCTGTCACTATTGTTTATAGTATTAGTAACAAAAAATGTATCTGTCGATATTGTTTATAGTATTAGCAACAAAAATTTATCTGTTGATATTATTTATAGTTTTAGCAACAACGTTTTATCTGTCGGTATTGATTTTATTGACATTTAATTTAAATATCTTAATTACAAAAAACTACTCCGTATAAAACTATGAATCATTTAGTACACGAAATTGAGGTCATGAAATTGTAAATGAAAAACCTCAACTAAAATTTGGTCGCACAAAAATACATGACATTAAAAATGAATTATTAATTTAAAAGATAAAAACTAAAAAATAAACATAAAAAATTATTTTTTTACATTGAATATTTACAAATTAAAAATTATAGTTTTTAATTGCAGATTTTTTAAGTTAAAAGTTAAAATTAAAGGACTAAACTGACCGAATAGAATCAAGACATATGATAAAAGAACAAATCAACAAATAAAAAATGTGAGGATGAAAATGTGATTGGAGGTGGATGGTGGTGGCGGCTCTGATGGTGACGGCTCTGAAGAAGGCAGTGGAGGCCGCTTTTAGTCATTTACCTTGCAAGGTATCATGGTATGTATATAAGGGTCTCAATAAGCTTTGTGTTACCAGCTCATTTACCATGAATTTGATTGGTTACTGGCATTGTGTTACTAGCTCAATTAGGGATGATTGTCTATTCCTTTTGGTTAAATTACTTGAATTTGTTAGGTTAAGGTTGAATATTGCTAACATCAATTAGGGAAAATTGTCTACCCCTATTGGTAAAATTTTTTGAATTTGATTTGGTTAATGACTGGATTTGCTTACATCAATTATGACACATTGTTTATCCATGTTGGTGAGATTGCTTAAAATTGATTTGGTTAATGACTGGACATTGCTTACATTGATCACAGCCCATCATCCCATTTGGTGAACTTTCTTGAATGTGATTGATCCTTGGCAGAATAATGTTAACATTGTTTAAGAGACATTGTTTATCCGTGTTGGTGAAATTTCCTTAATTTCATTGGCTATTGGAGTGGTAGTAAGTAGCATTGTAGCAACGTGTGTTAGGGGTTTATGGCACTTTAATAAGAGAGTTATTTGATTCTTGGCCCCTAAGTTCTTCCATACGTTCATTCCACTATATTTCTGTATTAGAAATCTAAGTTCAAACATTAAAGCAATGGTTAGACTCTATTTATCATTGCTAGCTACCCATATTTTATTTGATTTTTGTTTAGTTCATTATATAGTTTAAAGTTATGCCGCCTAGCATGAGTGTAAGGTAAATTTGGTGCAAAATTTGTGAGTACTGATTACGTTATCATGTGCTTATAATTTTTTTTGCATAGAGTTCAACGGCTAATCAATCTGAAATCGATGATCTTACAATTGATGGTAATACAACCACTGAGAAAAGTCATGATGAAGATCGATGGAACAAAGATGATGAAGCTAAGAGCGATGAACTTGAAGATGTAGATAGTGACGAGCATTAAAGCTTTGGACGATATCTTCCATATCAATGTGTATTTTAATTTAGTTCACTTTGACTATTAATACTTTAGCTTGAAATGTACGCAAATGATGAACTAATTTTGAGATGTTGGTTTACTTTCTAGTAAATGGGTTAGTTGTAACCCTTTGAAATGTTATCATATTATGTATTGTTGTTGATACAAGTATGAGTATTATTTTTTATTTGTCAATGAAATTCTTTGATATCACTTAAATACAATATGGTGGTGTGAAACATGGTATTAGTAATAGTTTTAATAAATGTTTGTATTGGTCAAAATAACTTATTACCGACAGAAAAAAATGTATTTCTCACACAATGTTTTGTGGGTAATTGAACTTTTAGTGACAGTTATAATAAATGTTAATGTTGGTAAAATTAAGGTATTACCGACAGAAAAGGAGGATTTACCCTCACTATTTTTTGTCGGTAATCCATGTTTTAGCGACATATGTGTTTTGTCGGTACTTCTTTCTTTTTTAGCGACATCTTTGGTCTGTCGCTATTACATTATTTTAGCAACATTATATTTTCTCTCGGTAATACTTTTACTGACGGAGTTTTTAGCGACAGCCTAGCGACAGACAATTATCTGTCAGTAAAAGCGAGTAGCGACAGATATTCAGCCTTTAGCGACATATCGACCCCTGTCGGTATTGCCTCCTTTTTTGTAGTGTACCTATGCAGCTTGAGCTGGGGTCTCTTGAAAGTAAACTCTCTACTTTCGAGAAGGGGCACCAAACTCGGCATACACACACCAGATTCATACCCTACGTACTTTGGTGGGATCCAACTAAGTTATTGTTATTGTCTCATACAAGGCATGATATTTAATTTTTTTTGCTTCCCAACAATCCCACATAAAATAAAAAATTTAAATTCAAACAAAAAATTCTAATAATGAAATAGTGTTATAAAATGATTTGGACGGGATTTGTTTTCTACGCAATGTTATTTATTTACACACAAAACAGGATGAGCCACATTCCCGAGGGGCGAAGGCCCCCTCAGACCTGGTCGAACAGTCACTGAGAGAAGATAAATTTGGTCATCGCGCTTGTTCAGCCGATCTTGCTTTATGGCGGACTTTGGCTCTTAGTAGGGTCTTCTTCTTTGGGTTTTGAGGTCTTCTTCCTTGAACTGGATACCCCATTGTTAGGGTATCCGTCACACCTTTTGTATCATCATAAGGAGCACAGGAATAATAAATGCAGTAAATGACACAAATATTTTTTTCCCCAACTTCGTCTAGTTGTTCCAACTCCTAATATTCTAACTCATTCTATTTGTGTTCAGTTTCTTCCACTTTCATTTAACTTCTACCAGTTTCTTTCAATGTCCAACTCTACTTTTACAACCCAAATGAACAGTTCCTTATGACAAGTGAACAATTACTTCTAAAATCCATAGAGAAATTAGGAAAGTTAGAGCTATGCCGGTCAGCTCAAGTTCGAATTCAAGTTGAAAAAAATGTGCTCATGACCTAGCTAGTTCACTGGGTTCGGATGACCAAACGGTTTGTGACTGTTTGTTTAAAATATTTAAATTCATACTTGTACTTGTATCCTTATCAAAATGTACCTGGAGTAATAAAAAACTACACCATAAAATATTATATTCTTGGTATCTATTAAAAACATTTAAAATTTTCTTTTTGAAATTTTAATTAATTTTTAAATATGTATCACAATATTATAAGTAAGATATTAATTGTAGATAAATACAACATTTTATGTCAACATAATATTTATCATTCAAAACTCACTTAGAAAAAGAAAGTTTAATTTGTAAGCTAAGAGCACTCTCTCTATCTTTTCCCTCTCGTCCACATCATCATTTTGGTATAAATTATTTTTTTCCTTGCATCTCATCAATGAAGAAAGAAAAATGATAGAATCACAAACAAACAATTCAAAAATTCATAAAAATGTCTTTTTAACATCTTACTAGGAACAAGATGCATTCAAATAAAAAAAGATTAAATTTAAAAATAAAAAAAAAACAAGTTTGTCAAATTTGTAAACGATTTATTTGTGATTCTAGCATTTTCGACTAGAAAATTGCTTTTCTTCCACACCTCTCACATCGAATGGGCCCTCAATCTCCAATTTGATTATAAATTGGGGTTTATAAGGAGAAATATCACACCTTTTGAAATCATTTTATTTATAAAACGGTACATCAATAAAAATTAAAATTATATATTAAAAAACTACGTCAAAATTCTACAAAACAAGAAGTGACAAGAATATTTTATTTTATCAAATATATATACTTAATGAAATCGCGTAAATAAACAAAAATTTTCGAGAGGAGAGAAAAAAAAATTGTAATGTTTTTTCCACTCGTTACGTGTGAAAAAAAGGATACCCGCATGAAAATTTTTCAAAACTAATTGGTGGAATAGTAACGTACTATACCAAAATGGTTCCCACTCAAGGAAAAAAACACTGGTGGGAACGCTCTAAAATGGAGTAAGATGCCATTATTTTTTATTGCTTTATATTTCATGCTAATAATGTATAGAGTACATCATTTAGAAAAATATCATATACTTTTGCGAGCCATTCAAGTCGAGTTCGATTAGATTTGTTTTATTTTAACGGGTCATTTTGAGTTCAATTGTCTTCTCGCTTGATTAACAAAACTTTTGTTTAAACATGGAGTCGCCACAATGTTTTAGCTTGTGGTTTAGCATTTTAACCATCGTTTTTACTTTTTCCTTCTTACCTATGCAACTTTAGCCGGGGTCTCTTGAAAGTAAACTCTCTACTTTCGAGAAGGGGCGCCAAACTCGGCATACACACACCCAGTTCAGACCCTACATACTTTGGTGGGATCCAATTAAGTTGTTATTTTTGTTGTCTCATACAAGGCATGATATTTAATTTTTTTGCTTTCCCAACATTCCCACATAAAATAAAAAATTTAAATTCAAACAAAAATTCTAATAATGAAATAGTGTTATAAAATGATTTGGACGGGATTTGTTTTCTACGCAATTTTATTTATTTACACACAAAAAAGGATGAGCCCCCCTCGCCCCTCAGACTCGATCGGACAGTCACTGAGAGAAGGTAAATTGGACTTTAATCGCATATTAGTGGCAAGGAGTGGAACATGCACCTGGTACCTGCAGAGATCCAATGCTTAACATAGTTGTCTCCAAGCGCAGTTGTATGAAATCGAGCTCCGGTCTACCTCCTTAGCACTCCCAGGCTTTGTCAACTGCATAATGCCCGCCCCCAATTTTATTTATTTACAGTTTTTACACAGCTATAGACGTGTTATATAGTGTGTATTGTTTATTGGAAGGATAGGAAGATTGAGAGCTTACATGATGAAAATGTGTGGATAAAACAAAAGAAGAGTGAAATAATTGGTTGAAACTTGGAACAAGAGCACATGGCATGGCATAGAGATATATACCTACACAGCAGATCATTTAGTTTGGCTTTGATTTGATCTTCAACCAGTAGTTCGGCCAGTACTCACTCAATTCATTGTTTTCTTACTCGTGGAAGTCAAACTGTGTATATCATGGACTCTTTTCTACCTTGAGTAAAATTAGTTACTCTCTCTATCTAGAAATGTTTTTTCTATTTGATTTTTTTCTATTTGAGACGGAGGGGTATTTATGATTGATTACAAATTGGGGAGATAAATGGATTTGAAATTTCTATAATCCAACAAAAAAAAGTACATAAACCATATATGGAATGAAGCCATGGTTTTAGTGGTCAATACACAACACTTTTTGACACTTAAATTAGTAATGATCTACCGTTTGCCTTTATGGTAATGCATTACACGTAGGTACCATTAGGTGATTTAGGTCGCAACTTTGTTGCATTGCACATTTGCACCATTAAATTTTCATGGGTACCATTGCATTAAAAGTTAAAACGTAATCTTTCTTACAATAATATTATAAAGAAAAAAATGTGAATGACAACTCTAAGGGGAGTAAAGAAGTACAAAAGCAAGTTAATATATTGGTCCAAATAATACTCTCTCTGTTCCAAATTAGATTATAATTTTCCATTTACGAGTAAAAATTTGCATTTTATAAAATCAATTTATTTAAAAATGGGTATAAGAATAATTAATAAGTTTGATATCTTAAAAGATTACGTCGAAAGTTCTACAAAATAAGATATAACTAGAATATTTTATTTCACCAAATAATAATGAAAATATACACACAAACAAAAGTTATCAAGATATACCCAAAAAAATTATAGTCAATTTTGGGAAAGGCGAGGCTAGTACTTATCTCTTTTAATGCACATTGTTTTTTCTTTATCAATCACCACTCACAAACATTTTTCTCCTTTTTTATCTACGGTCCCGAAAGTTATCATACTAATCATTATAATATCTAAGATACATCGAAAATTAAATGAGTATTGATATTTATATAATATCTAAATTCATTCAATTTTTGAGGTATAACGAAAGTAATAATCACCAGTTAATTGTGAATATTGTGAATAGTCCCTAAATATAATAATGAGTGCTGATTGGGATAATAGTAATTAATAATACCTTTGGTCACTCTTTTAATACTCCGTAAGAGGAAGAAATTGTGATGATTAGGAATTAAGGATGTTGCATAAGCCAATTAATTGTCATTAGGTTCAATTCCCTTTTAGCGCAATTCTTACTTAATTTAACTTTGAAGTGAAGGGATGGCAAAGCTACCTGTCTTGTCTTTTGTTTCTTTATTACTCCGTATAAAGTTGTAATTAGATGGTCAACTTACTAGTAACGGATACTACCCATTCCTCTAAAACTAAGGCCCCGTTTGGCATCAGCGTCAGAGATTAACGTTAGCGTTTTGAAAAAGCTATCCGACGGTAGCCTTTAGCGTTAGCGTTTTCAGAATTAATCTGCACCGTTAAATTTTTATCCAAAACACTAACGCTAATCGAAAACGCTGTTACCAAACAAAGCCTAATTTTTGGTTGCGGTTTACAACGTTTAATTAAAGTTATTTTTATAAAAACTTATTAAAAAATCAGTGTGTATTAAAAAATTCTAAAATTTATATATTTAAACATATATCAAAAGATGTAAAAACTAGATGTGATATCACTATTTTATCAAATAAGTGACAAATATAAAGTATAAGCTTAGAAATTTGACTCAGCTCAATGAATTGTGATTGGTAAGATAGTTTTAGGACATAGGAGGTACATTATAATCCACAAATCCATAGCTTGTATATTCTCATGTACTCTAACTCACCATCTCACCTGCAAATGATATTTATTTTTGCTCGAACTTTACACTTAAACTAAAACTTTTAAAATCGCGAGGTTGTGAGCTTTGAATTTGTGAATTTTAAATCAATAAGGTATAGATACAATATTAAAGAGCAAGTGCAATCCAATATTTAAGTTTGTAGTTAAAAAAACTAAAAAGATTTTATACTAAAAAAGTTGTACTTTCATGATCCCAAGTTTTAATGTAAATTTTGGACCTTCTCATGCCTTTTATGGGCCACATGAAAATCTATTATTTTTTTTCAAAAACTCAATTCATATATGCTACTCTCTTTGTCCCTATTTTTATTACAATTTTATATTCTCTCTCTCCTCGATAAGTTTTGTTTGTTTGTGTATTTTCATTGTTTGTTTGATAAAATAAAATATTCTTGTCGCCTCTTGTTTTGTATAACTTTTGATATACGGAGTAATTTTTTAACATATAATTTTTATTTCTTATTGATGTACCAATGTATAAATAAAATGATTTAAAAAATTGTTCGTAATTCTCGTTTTGTAATTAAAATAGGGACGAAAGGAGTATTTATATACAAAATCCATAAAATAAGTATGCATCTTAAGACCACATAAAAAATGGCATCTAAAAACTCAACAAAGAATTCTTTCAATTCATATAACTCCGTATAAAATAGTAGTCAGAATGTGAAGTTCATTTAGAGTTGAAGCCAATACACACAAGACACAAAATTACTCTGTTTGTTTCACTATTTTTGTCCATATTATTTTTGGATTAAACTATTTGTACACTAAAACTTGTACCTCATTTTATAACCTAAAAACATACATCGACATTTTGTGATAGTGTGATGCTGGTGTGATTATTTACATTGACAAAAACTGTTAGTGCATATTTTTTAGTGAACTAATATTTTATGACAGTGTAAATCGTTAAAATCTCGGTGCATTTTTTTGGGGTGCAACTTGGGGTATACTTTTAGCATACCTTAGCATGTTAGATTATTTTTTGCACATTAACCGAGGAGGGAGAGTAAAGAATACAAATAGATAGACCTATATCCTTTTACTTTTTAGGCAGGAGTTGCCAAAAATTTAAGCGAGTACAAAAAGGAGATATATGAGTCAAATACACATCTAAAGTGTGGAAGTATATTGCCGTAGTGATACAGTCTAAACTTCTCCGCATACAGTGATCGTGCCATACTTCTAAGAAATTGAGATTATTTTGAACAGATACTCCATTGATGGGTACGAGAGTTAGGGGTGAGCATGGTACGGTATGGTACGCTATTTAGCTCGTACCGGTACTGTACCGGATATTTCGATTCGGTATGAAATTTTACGTTGTACCGATCCCGATCTCGAAGCATCGGTTCGGTATGGTTCGATATCGGTTTCGGTACGTATCGGGATGAATATATACGTACCTAGCTAGTTTACACCAAATGTAACAAAACCTTTTGTTTTTGAAAATCGAAAGTTCATTTAACAAAAAAAAGATAAAAAATTTAAAAATGAAAAATAAATTGTAAGAAGTGCTTATCAAAGTTAGTTTATATTTCACAAACTAAAGAGAATGAGTGATGACAAAGTATTATTTCAAATGTTTGTTAATATTCTTAAACTCATCTACAAAAAATAAAAAAATCTTATTAAATGCAACTTACACATAATGAAATTAAATTAAATTGTCTATATAAATTTTTTATTTAATGAAGAAATATAAAAAGATTATTATTTTTATAATATATTAATTAGTATATATGTTCGTTTCAGGAATTTCGGTATGGGAACTAACCTCGTACCGTTCCCAAATACCGGACCGACCGTTCGGTTCGGTACGGTTCAATTATTTTGCGGTACTTTATCGGTTCGATATTTTTCGGTTTGATATTCTCGATTTTTTCGGGAAATATCGGGATCGGTTCGGTCCTTACTCACCCCTAACGAGAGTTACTAAAGAAAGACATCTAAAGAAAAACAAAGTATCCCATATTCCCATCCTTCCTAAAAAAATCTTATTTTGACTTTTTTGACCAATATTTAACTACAAATTATAAAAAAAATATATTTAGTTATCTTATAGATTTGATATAATTTAATTTATTTTAAGATGTAGTTTTGATATGCCAAATCTTTATATAATTTAGTTATTTGAAGTTATATCTATTTATAACCAAAGCTTGAAGATAATTGAGCAAAAAAGTCAAACTTGGAAGATTAATTAAGACAATGGTAGTACGAAAAACAAACATATAGAAGTATATATAATGAAACAAGTCAAACAACACAAAAATGACAAACACATTATTGAGATTGAGAGAGTAATACAATGTTAACAAAAGTATACTGGTTGGTTCAATCGATTGGACCATAACCCAAACATAGCTCGGGTCCGATACAATGACTAAACTCAATTTTGTAAAAAACATCTTAATCCGTCAGACCTTAAGAATCGGGTGAAGACCCAAGTCAGCTAGCCGGTTTGGGGGTTTTAATCAAAATCTACTCTTTCCAATAATTTTATAAAAAAGGATAAGCTCATCCTCAAAAGTCCCCTCAGAAGGATAGCCGAAAATCCGATTACCGTCCGTAACCGTATCTGTTTAAAAAAAAATATTCTCATCCGTTTTAAAGGGATATTATCCGTATCCGATTACTAAACGGATACGAATTTGGTAATTGTATATCCGATCTGTTTAAAATCCGATCTAAATATGCATCTGTTTAAATAACCATTTATCTGAATATTCAATCCACTATATACAGTTTTTCCTAATTTTTTTATGTTTATATTTTGTTTCCCTATTGATATTTCAAAGTATAAGATATTTTTATATACAAAATGAATGTGTAGACACATAAATATATGTGCAGACATATAAAAATATGTGTATATGTGTGTTGTGTATATATTTTTATCATACGAAGTTATCGTAGAATATCATAAATCATGAAAACAAAGAAAATAATTATCTCATAACAAATTATAGTCGATTTAATAATAGGTTTGACTTTAAACTAATTTAAAATTAAAGTATTGTTTAATTTGATTTTAAAAATTGGAAGCGGATACGGATATATCCGATATCTGACCGATATCCGGCGGATATGGATACGGTTTTGATTTTTAGTATCTGTCAAGATCCGTATCCGAATTCGATATCCGAAAAAAATAAACGGATACGGATTTGATAATGGCACATCCAATCCGATTAATGTCTGTTTACACCCCTACCCCTCAGATCCGGCCAGACAATTACTGAAATGAGATAAGTTTTTCGTTAATTTATATCAAGAAAAGAAATGATGGATGCAAGAAATGAACCTAGCTACGACCTCTAAATTCCCACAGAAGACTCCAACCACATGAGCCATTAGACCACTCTTAATCCTGATCGTCTGAATTTGCGGATCAAGGCCAAAAATCTCTAAATAGGTGATGGTGTTTGAACTCATGACCTCAAGGTCCCTACACCTCTGTGATGCGGAATGTGCAACCACTCCCATTTAAAAGTGATTGAATTTTACACGTTATTTATGTTGGGTTTGGGCTCCCAACTATGTGTCATCTTTAACTAAAAGGCCCAAATATTTTTTGAGGATAAGTCCTCAATACATTTGTGTCCACATATATTGAGAGTAAAAGTTTGGCAGCTACATATATTACACACCACTCACGCATAAAAAAAAAGAGAGAAAAACAGCCGCAAGAAGGGAGATAGCCGCTGCCATTTTCTTCAAAACGCAGACCTGGTTTTTTGGTCGATCGGAGGTCCAAATCTTGTCCGATCGAGCTGAAATTTTTGGAGGAGCCTAAGGACTCGTGGAGCTTCAATCTGAACGGTGGAGATCGAATTTCAACGGTTCAATCTCAAGTTATGAGCTTCGCACCAGCTGCTGTTTTTTGGTGATGTCTTGCACTTTTGTTCATCTATTTTGATTCTAGTGCCTTCGTAGTGTTGTTAAGGGCTAGATATCATTGTGGTGCTGTTATATTGTGCATTTGTACTCTCAATTTGGTGGTAGTGGAGTTGGTTGGACCGAAGGGTCTCGTGGTTTTTACTCTTTCACATTGAAAGGGTTTTCCACGTTAAAATCTCGTGCCTCATATTGTTTTATTTTCGTGTTTGGATTATCTTGTTGCTTGGTGTTCTTTGGTGTGTTTGTTGCTCCTCATAGATTCATTCAAGAGGGAAAGGTGTTGATCTTGGGCACTACACATTCATTTGTGTTCTTGCTTTCCCAACAAGTGGTATCGGAGCGCCGGAGTAATCTGTTATTTGTCTGGATTGAATGATGGAGCCAAATTACAGCAGGATGATCAGTTTGAATGGAACAAATTATCACAAATGGAAGGGTAAAATGAAGGATTTACTCTTTGTGAAAAAGCTGCATCTACCAGTGTTTGCTACTCAGAAGCCAGAGTCAAAAAGTGATGAAGAGTGGGCTTTTGAACATGAAATGGTTTGTGGTTTCATTCGTCAGTGGGTAGATGATAATGTTCTGAATCACATCTACAATGAATCTCACGCTAGATCTTTGTGGGACAAGCTTGAATCCTTGTATGCATCAAAAACAGGGAATAACAAGCTATATTTGCTTAGGCAAGCTATGAATCTGAGATTCAAGGAAGGTTCTTCTATTTCTGACCACTTGAATGAATTTCAAGGGTGTTTTGATCAGTTGTCAGACATGGGTGTAAAGTTTGAGGATGAGATTTTGGGACTTTGGTTGCTGAATACTTTGCCTGATTCTTGGGAAAATCTTCGCGTGTCTTTGATTAGTTCTGCTCCTGGTGGTTCAGTAACTATGGAGTATGTCAAAGCTGCCGTTCTGAATGAAGAAGTGAGACGCAGAACTCATGAGACATCTACTTCAAAATCTGATGTCTTGGTTACTGAAAATAGGGGGAGAAGCAAAGACAGAGATCATGGAGAATTCAAAAGGGGCAAGAGCAGGAGCAAGTCCAAGTCAAAATACAAAAATGTTGAGTGCCATTATTGTCATAAAAAGGGGCACTTAATGAAAAACTGCTTCAAGCTGAAGAACAAAGACAAGAATAAGCCAGAAGGGAAAGATGGTGAAAATGATCGTCATGTTGCTACCACGACTTCGGGTGATCTGATAGTTGTTTCTGATAACGACTTGATTAATGTTGCCTCTGATGAATCAAGTTGGGTTATCGATAGTGGTGCCGCTTTCCATGTGACGTCAAGGAAAGATTTCTTCACATCTTATACTTCAGGTGATTATGGGGTATTGAAGATGGGTAATGATGGTCGTTCACAGGTTGTTGGCATTGGTGTTGTTGTCCTGGAAACCAAAACTGGGATGAAGTTAGTGTTGAAGAATGTCCGACATGCACCAGATATTCGCTTGAATTTGATATCTACTAGTGTCTTGGATGATGAAGGTTATATGAGTACCTTTGGTGATGGGCAATGCAAACTCACTAAGGGTTCTCTTATTGTGGCTCGTGCGAAGAAGTGTTCAGGTTTATACTGGACCAATGCTTCAGTCTCTATTGATTCTGTCAATGCAGTCGAGAGTGATAGTTCTTCAGAATTATGGCATAGAAGACTCAGTCACATCAGCGAGAAGGGTCTTGATTGTTTAGCCAAGAAGAATGTTCTTTCAGGGGTGAAAGATGCAAATTTAAAAAGGTGCAGTCACTGCTTGGCTGGGAAACAGAACAGAGTGTCCTTCAAGAGTCATCCATCTTTCAGAAAATCAGAGTTGCTTGAATTGGTACATTCAGATGTTTGTGGTTCTATGAAGACAAAGACGCATGGTGGTGCACGTTACTTTGTGACATTCATTGATGATTGCTCAAGGAAACTATGGGTGTATGCCTTGAGGTATAAAGACCAAGTTCTTGGGGTCTTTAAACATTTTCATGCTTCTGTTGAGAGAGAAACAGGAAAGAAGTTGAAGTGTATTCGCACAGACAATGGTGGTGAATACCTTGGCCCGTTTGATGAGTATTGCAGACAACAGGGCATCAGACATCAGAAGACGCCTCC